ATACAAATTATGTAATTTCATGCATGCGGGCTACATTTTTGGAAAATTCTTGTGAGAAATTGAATGGTTTGAATAATTTTGCAACGTTGGAATTGGGTTACGTTCCATCGTCCGAAATATGATGAAGAAGTAAGCAGTTGCTGACTTTTATAAACTTATTGGGATGATAGCGGGAGACGCATAAACGCACACGAATATTGTGACTTAATTCCCTGGTAAGCTGACATGAGTGACAGGATAGGTGTGAATAAGCATAAAACAAGAAGGAAACAATCTTAATCCAATTTTGAATAAGTTCTAAAGCCCATTTCTGATCTCTCTTTTCTCATGTGGCGGCTCGATATGTTTAGATGCATATCAAATGGAGGAAGATTATCGTAGTCTCTCCACGAATGTTTCGTAATATTCGTTGAGGATTTGGTTGCGCATCAAAAATGTGTAAGCATGAGAAAAATACCTCGAGATTACGTAGCACTGAGCCCGTGCACGGAACTACAGACAACTGGATTCTTGGTCGCCAGGAGCAGCAATTTGGCAACCCCGGATTCCCTCCATTTAAACCTATGCTAAAAATCGATTCTTGTCGGAGCACATGGCCCCCAAGAATCGATACATTTCCATAGGTTTAAATGGAGGGAAGACGATGTTGCCAATTTGCTGGATCCGCCAATGTCGCCTGGACAAAAGTACGGAACTACATTTCAACATAGCGAAACGCCTGCTCCCAGATTGTATTTATCAAGTTTTTAACTGAAAATGTGGCAGAGTTTTCATCTGATTACATGTGAAATGAGCATGATTCGGGCAGCTCTTCTGCCGTGCTTAGGAAAAACGCCGTATGAACCTTCAGGCGTTGCCAAATTTCATTTGAAAAAAACACTAGTTGTCAATATTTTTCTTCCAATTTCTCAGATAATTTTGTTTTGCAGTTTGATCTAAAACTTCTGAAAATTTTAAGAAAAAATATTCATAACTCTCCTCAAAAATGAACATTTTATCGAAGGAAATTTGGCAACTCTCGAATGTTCACACGGCGTTCTTCCTTAGTACGGCAGTATTCTGCCGTGCTATGGAAAAACGCTGTATAAACATTCGAGCTTCTCGCCGAAGTTTCAATGTCTATTTTGAAGGAGAATTATGAATATTTTTCTTTTAAATTTTCGGATAATTTAGATCTGATTGCGAATATACTTCTCTGAATAATTGGTGGAAGATAATCACAGATTTCTTTTCATAATTTGTCAGAGGAAACTTCGCAACGTCTGAAGACTCATGCGGTGTTCTTCCTCTAGGTGTGGTAGTATTGCACAGTTATATTCCTACATACATCGGCAAAAATTGTAGTTACATTTTTCAATCGTTATTTTGGACAAGTATTAAAGCTTTGAGAATAGTTTGATTTGTCCTACTTCTCTCGTTGCCTTTGAAAAATGGTCGACCCAACAAATTCCCATAACATTTATCAAAACGACTTTAAATTTTGAACCGAATCTTCTGCTATCGAATACGAAAAATCATGGAGAATTTAAGTTTTACGTTGTCGAGCTTCTCGGAAGAAAAAATTAATTTCGAATTAAGTCTGCAACGTCGCAAATGGAGAAACGTCGTCCCTCAACTTGCCAAAAAATATGTATGTATAAAATTGAAGGCATCATGACTTTCGTCTCTCAACTTATATTCGTCTGTAACGATAAACAATGGGACGCGTTTGCTACGGCGCCTTGATACAACTATACAACCTCGACGGATGTCCGTATTGCGTTCAAAAAATTGAAGGCGTTTTGACTCCCTGCTCCTTCTACTTGTAGTTGATTCGATCGACAGACGCGTTGGTCGGCGGCGACGGGGACTTGATGCAACTATTTAAACTTGATGGATGTCCGTATCGCACCGACTGAAGTGCGAAACCACGTATCTGCATTGCGGTGTTTCAAAATTTCCGTTCTTATTTCATCTCTTCCATGAGAAACAATCCAAATTTACGACTTTAAATTTTGAACCGAATCTACTGCTATCAAATACGAAAAACTCGTGGAGAATTAGTTTTATGTTGTCGAGCTTCTCGAAAGAAAAAAAAAATTTCTAATTAAGTCTGCAACGTCGCAAATGGAGAAACGTCGTCTCTCATTTTGCCCAAAAAAATGTATGTATAAAATTGAAGGCATCATGACTTTCCTCTCTCAACTTATATTCGTCTGTAACGCTTGATTGCTGCATCCCAAGCCGGAACAATGTTGACAAATGTCACTGCATGGTAGACCAACTCTCTTACAAGAGCAGCGGTTACTACGATTTGTAAAAGTTCTTGGGGGGGGGGGGGGGGGGGGTTGAGCGTAGGTACAGGGAGAAGCCCGAGTTCCAAAGATTTCCAACCCCATTCCTTGGGAATCCGTTTTCTTCCTCTCCAGAGTTGAACTTGATAATATACACGTAAGAAGTTATGTTTGCACACATCTGAAGTTGGAGGCAACGTTTGCAGTTTCACCTCAGTTTTTTGCCTTGCCAAAGCACGATTAAAACATTGAAATCTGAATTTGTTTGCAAAGCAGTAACTGATTTTTTAGCAACGTACAGCAAAAGAACAAGTTGCTCAACCGCTTGACAAAGCTCATCTTGAGTGCAGTCGGTTTCATCAAATTTCTCAGCGATACGATTTTTTTTTTTTTTTTTTTTTTTAAATTGGAAAACTAATCAACGTACTAAATTTTTTGAAAACGACTGTCATTTCACTTCTGCTCGAAGAATATTCCGTAAAAATTTAAAGCGATAAAATTGGCTCATTTCCCTTCGAAATCTGAAATTAGATGCGGAAATCTTGAAACACCGTGAGCAAGGTACGTGGTTTTCGACTTTAGCCATCGGTATGCAAACAAAGCTCTTTTGCTATGCAGCATATCGCTAAGATTGTGGAATCTGGCACATATTTTTCGGCAAATCCATTCCTCATGCATTTTTATACTTTGACAGAAAATGTGCGCTGAACTTTCAAATACCTAATGCATTTTTTGGCATGGAGTTAGTTGAGCTGAAAACTACTCTCAACTCAATTTTTTTAGAAAGTGCGACTCGATGCGTTTTTGTAAATGCAGTCCACTTACTGAAGAAATTTCCATTTATTATGTTATTTTTAAATAAGTACTTAATTTAAAAATCAATAAATAAAAAAAAAATCGGATTACGACCGTTGAGAGTTAATAATATTATTATTAACTTACTATCACTTGTATATTCAACTTACATATATCTAAAAATCCAGCTATTGTTTGTCCTGCCCACCAACGTCAGACCAAATGCAACATTCAACATTTCCTTGAATTTGTCAGCTTTTCATTTTTTGACACTGGCGTAGGGGGAGGAACTAACAACTAAATTAACAGTTATACATAGTACGTATATATAATTTAGTTATAAGCTAGAGTCTAAAGTTAGACTCAAAAGTTCAAAGTTCATTTACTAATCATATTTTAACCTTATAATGTAAAAACAATTAATACTCTGTAGTTTTGTTTATAATTAAAAAAAAAAAAAAGTTAATAATATTTGGTCCGTCCCGACGCGACGCAGCGCCTGCCTTCTCACTTTGTATCTGCTGTAAATATGAATAGAAATTCAGCAATCAAGTATATTGACCAATGCCCTAATCGAAGCCGGAGGAATGAGGAAAAATTTGAATAAAAACCTTATACCTTCGACCTTGAACCTTGAACCCTAAGCGATACACCGCTCCTCAACTCTCGGTATGAGGAGCCCTGCTACACAAGCTTTTCCATTGTTTTATTATTTATTCGACTCACTCAGGTAGAATCCCACACCTCGACGTTTCTAGCGGAAACGACATATCTCTCACGCTATTAACATTGGACATAAGTGACATGAGCTTTAAAAGCTTTACAACATTGAAAGTTCGGGGTTTCATAATTTTTTGCACATATCTACAGCTATTACAGATGACATACATGTAAAGATCATCCTTATCGGTCCGGTAGTTCGTCAGAAATAGTGCTTCCAAGATTTTGCTTGTAGCTGTATAATATAGAGAGAGATAGAGAGAGATATACAACATGCATGACCTAAAGGGGGGGGGGGTTCAAGATGAAAGGAAATTAGCACATATTTGAATGGATAATATGACTTATCCTCGCGGTAAATTTACCAAAAAAGAGAAGCCGTTTCATCTTGGACCGCAACGATTCATGGCGCGGCCAAGCTGAGCCTCACCGCGTAGTAGCCGCCGTTGGTTCGGACCGCATAGCGCTCCGGGGGCGGACCCCCTAGTGAATTCATAAGCATCTTTACCATGGAAATTTTATGCTCTTTCATTCCGGTGAGAACACTTTTTTGCCTCAGACTCGCCGTTTTTAGGATAATTACAGGTTTTGTTGAAAAAACGCGATTTCTCGCAAGATTGGACTTTCCTGGCCGCAGGAAACTACCACCATACCTAACGAACCAGAAGTTGCAATTTGATAAATGTATAGTGTTTCTAATAGGAAATTTTATGATCTTTTTAAAAGGTTCTATGACATTTTTCCGTGGAATTGATATTTTTCAAGATATAAGCAAAAAACCGGTCGCCGGCGGCGTATTTTGGCCCCCCCCCCCCGCTCCCCTTTTTTCAAGATGGCGGCCTTAGCGGACAGCCGATTTCGGTAAACTTTTGACATGCTGTTCTGATAGCCTAATGCAACATGTTTCCGCAAAAAAACCTTCTATAAGTATATGGATTTTCCCAGATGACCCTTATTTAGACCTAAATTGACTGGACTAATACTCGCATCGGAAAGTGCGGAGACTCCTACTACACTGCCCGCGCATAAGTCCCATCGAAATACAATGGCCAATCAGTGTTGAGCGCGGCACAAAATCAAGGTCGACGCGCAGTGGATTTTCGTGCACCAATCAGAACTCCTCAATTCATCAATATTTTTTTTTTTTTTTTTTTTTTTTTTTTAGGGGGGGGGAGAGAGTCTAGGGGGGATGTTTTGGCCTAAGTGAAACACAAACAGCCACTTTCGATGATCTGGAAATTACACGAAATACTAACCTCACTCTCACTCTTTCCTTTTTTTTCAATTTATTTCTCAGAATCGGAGTTATTGAGTTTTAGACATTTTGGCAAGGTTGATCGGTGTGTCAAAAGCGTTTCCCTTGAATAATTCATGGTTTCAATTGTAATTGCAAATCGGTAGTATGGAAAGAATATAATGATGTAGCATATTTTATTAATGAATGCCATTAGATCATGCCAAGGACTAAGGAGCAGGTAATGACAAGACCAGTTTTTTTTAAATCTGAATCCCATTCTGATCATTCAAAATGTGGTCACTTGTGATTCTTCTCGTGTGAATTTTCCTACTCTGTTCTGTGAATCAAATCGGAGCAACCGTCCAAAAAGGAAGCGTAAGTATTTTCATATTTTCGATGATTCTTTTGCTAAAGAATGCTGCTCAGCTCGTTATTTTATTTCTCAAACAAATTTACGACTTCCTACTTTCATACTTTTACTGCTGCAAAAGTGATCAACGAATTATAAAGTAAAAATTCAAAACCTAACCTGGAGTCAACCTATCACCTTTAGTTGCTAAAGCATCTGGGCACAGATACCAAAATTTTGAATACTTATTTCATTCAATATACTGAAGGTGAATCCAGGGTTCGATTAGGGATAATTCAAGATAAGAGATAGCGCCACCAGTCACCACTGAGAATTTCACTTTCCTTCAACGATTACTGAAATAATATTGTTCATATTACAAAAGGCAGGTCCACAAGATATAGATTATTTTTTGCTTGATTTTTTCAGCCAAAAATATTGGCAATTAGAATTACAATCGCAGAGAAAGTATGGCTGAAACTTTCAGCTCAGCTGCGGCGGCGGAGCGCGCAACCGAATCCCTCATGTTCTGTCTCTATCTCTCCTATTGCCGCAATGGGAATTACTTTCCGCCGTAGTTACAACTTTGTTTTTGGAAATTTTGGGAAGATTTTTTTACTGAGTGTTCCTTAAGTATGTTGCTATATCCCCTGGATCCCCAATCTTGAATAAGTATTACGGTTTTTATTATTTTGGCAAATATATACGGCTATTCTGAGCAGCGGGTCGTCGTGGCCACATCGCGAAGTTTCAAGCCTGGATTCACCTTAACCCAACACTGCAGATTACACTGGACATTTTCATCCTGAATTTTCAATTATCAGTGCAATATAGTAAAACCTCAATTAACCAAAGAGCACTAATGCGAAAATGTATCTCAATTCCTCTTTAACATTTGAGGACTTTTTCGGTAAAACGGTGTATGAGGCTTGCAATGCTGCCAAGATTGTGCAATATTTTACAGCGTGTGTGGCAAATGAAATTCATTCACAGTCAATTTACCTCCTTAAAATACTGAAGAAAAACTCGGCGCAGATTCAGGGAAAAATTCATAGCTGAACTGTCGGACATGTTACTTACAACTAGAAAACTATGTTGCACAATCGCAGTAGCATTGGAAGTCTCATACGCCTTTTTACTGATAAATGCCTCATTTGATACACCAAATTTTGCATTCAAGGTGATTTATGACAGGTTGGAGTTGTGATCAGACTTGTGTTTTATCACATCAAGTAAGTCTGAAATCTAGCAAACTTTGAGTCCATGGCCATTATTACAATGATTATCCTGACTCTTGAAATTGATAAGTCATTTTTAACATGTAAAACCACACAGCTTGGATAAGTTGGAAAAGATTTAGGACACAATAGAACTATTTCATTTGATATTTGGCTGGCAATGCAATATTTGTTCTGCAGTTAAATCCCATCATTATCTCTTCAAACTTTTCAATTTATATAAAATTCATGCATAAAGGCTTCTGTTGCTTATTAGCTTGATACTACAATTTTGAACTGCAATCAATCTGCCTGATGTATTACCACCAAGCTCGCCCAACTAGCAAGCTGAATTCCGGAGAGAAAATGCATTCATGCTATCAGTCTGTAGATTTTTCAGTTGCCCAGAGACTTCCTGCAACTAAACAGGAGTTAATCGTTTTAAAAACTCTGTCATTCCTTTAAATGTTTGCTCAAGCAAAATAACTGGATTGATCCTCTGTGTTACAGGAAATATGAGGAATTATATGAGGGGATTTTTGTTTATGTCGCTTTGGCTCGGGAGCATTCACAGTGGATTCTTGCTCATATGTTGCCCAATCGTTCCAATATTGCTGCTCTCTCCAAAATTGTACCAGCGCCTCATTGATATTATTATATCAGCCTGGGAAATGTATCCAACCGTAAGTAGCAAATAATTAATGTCAGGCTTTACAGCACTTAACTTCAATGACAAAATGTCAATGCTATGACCGAGGCTCCTTATTATATGTGTGAGAATATCAATGGCCAAAGTGCAAAACCATACACCATAACCATAAACCATAGACCATAAACCATTCTGTTTGCATTGTTGCAGACTTCTTGTCATTCTTTATTATTTTTGGGGAAAACTAGTCTACATAATTTCTTGAAATCTCCATTGATTTTTCCCTCCTGGTGGAGGAATTGCCCGTGAAAATTTCTAGGTATAAAATTGACTTGTTTCTCTTCAGAAAAGTAAAACAAAAGTGGAAATTTTGTAACATTGCAATGAAGTAACGAGGGTTTCGCTCCTTGGCTATTGTTACTTTTATAATGTACAGATATTTATAGAGGTATTAATGAATTGCCATAGATACCAAATAGATAGCCACCACACTAGCCAGTAGCGTGGCGTGAACTGCTATATATCGATTGTTATGCCATTTAAACCTATGGTAAAGAATCCATTATTAAGGCGTTCGCTGCGAACACCCCGTTTCCACAGGATTAAATGGCATAACAATCGATATATTGCAAAGCACGCCACGCCACTGACACAAGCCTTTTGCTCATGGTTGCTGGATTATGTAATTCCAAAAAAAAAATTTTAAATTTGCCATGAAATTTATCAACTAAAAAATAAATGAATGAAATAAACTAAAATATCACTAAGAAAAGGGTGTGGGTTGATTCCAGTGACATGCAGTCCAGGTAAGCAAGGCAAGCACTGCTTGCTCTAAGATTTCTGGAAAAAAGATGGAAACTATGCCTACGTATTTTGTTTAATTGTAGCGGAATATACTTTATGAAAGATTTGAAGGAAGTGAATAAATTTAAATTCAGAAAGGGAAAAATGGAATAAATAAGCTCTTCCATTGGCGATGAGAATTTCTGTTCAACATAAACTAGGACGGCTGGATTTGATGTAATGTTGACACGTTTGTCTGTGATCTGAGAGGTGCTGATACTGACTTTTATTTCACTATTTTATCATTGAATGGTGTACAAGTGCGCTTGCCCCCTACAGCTACATGTCAATCTCAGTATGTTTTTCATGATTTCTTGAGGCTGAAAGCCAGGAGACTTCACTTTGCTGAGAGACAGCTCATTGAGACCTAAAATCTTCAAAGAGCAAGCCTATGAGAGGTAAAAATCAGGCTCAAACTAGTTTTGATGATACTCCGTATGATATGAATTCTATTCATCAGGAAATTTTGCCAATGGCCGTAGTATATCAATAACGTCTTGTAAGGCAATACACATAATTGGCATGCTGAAACGATTATATGACAAAAACGGTCACCTGCAAGTGTAAGTTAAATCTTAACTAAAACTTTTATAATTTTTACATTCTTTCAGTTTTAGACGATTGCAAACATTCTAAGCTCATTTTTTTATCCATTACGTTTTTCAGGCGTTAATGCAACTGCTCAATGGAACAAAAATAGTCTTGTCTGGAGATTATATTAGATCGCATGAAAAGTCTCTCTTAATAATGAATCATCGAACAAGATGTGACTGGAATTTCTTCTGGGCAGGCATTTATTATGCATCGCAGCCCCCATCACACTCATTAAAAGTGATCTTAAAAGCCCCAATCAGGAATGTTCCAGGGCCCGGTAATTTATTTTATTTTATTATTAAATTCAGAAATGTGAAAAATGTTTAAGTATCATTTATTAATCAATTCAATACATCTTTTCTTGCATAGTGCTGAAAACTTTTCATGAGCATGAAAAAAGAAATAAGCCAGTTGTACCATTTCCTTTACCTGGTCTTTTTTTCTCCTTCTTTTGTTTTTGTCAGGAGAGAAATTCCAAAAAAAAATGAGTGCCACTAACTTATTGAATATTGAAGGAGCTGTGTTCGGTTAACAGAAAATTTGCTTATGGAAACACAATCGCTTTATTTTTCACTCACTAAGTGTTTCATTCAAAAGATGGAAGACCAAGTTGGAATATTACTCTGCGCCAGTGGCGATTTTGCAAGTTGACAATACTGTTTTTCCTCTATTTGAATCCATTAAACATATCGACTTTAGGTCTTGTCAAGAATCAATTGTTTTACATACATTCAAATGGACGAAAAAGCAGTGTTGCCAACTATTGAGAATTGCCACTGCCCTGCCTCTCTTACCCTGGAAAAATATTCCATTCCATCACCTCAGGATAGTTCTATTGCATCATTTTTTGCAGTTGGGTATCACTTACCATATATATGTCTTAACAAAATTTTAATATGACGATGATTCCTCTGTTATCGTTCAATTGAAGCCTTCATAGAAGAAAGGTGGTAACCAACATTTTTGTGATTTTAAATTTTGAGCAAACAAAGATTCTGTCAAGAAATTACATTGAATTTTATGGCTGATAAAAAATTTTAAATGATGTAGCAGAACTGGAAATTGAAATTTTTAGGTCAGTTTTTTTGTGAAATTTCGACGGTGTAAGTCGGCAATCACATAACTCGATTTTTGGCGGTATTGAGTTAGCTGCAGAAATGAAGTGTAGTAGATGTCCTTTACCTGCTACCAAAATATTTCAGTCAAAAAAAATCTGGAAGTCACCTTGAGACGTAGAACTCAAAACACATATTTTGGCGTTAATTCCAATAACACATAACTCGTGCCGTAGCGCCGCATTTTTAAACAACGCGCGCTCTCCGGGGAAGAATCTTGAACAATTAGGAGGCAAAATTAAAAGTTAGTACGTCATGGAATCTTCAAACAACAAAAACATTGTTATTGTTCTAACATCTAACATCTAATCCGAACTTAGTAATCATCCGCTTATTTTTAATCTTCATTTCATTTTAATTCGTAATTCGACGGCGTAAGTCCGCAATTACATAATTATCTCGTTCACGGTGTCTGAAAATCTCCGCCTCAACGTTATTTTTTTAAAGGGAGAACCTCGACACATTTAACATCATTCCTTGCAGTTTATACAGAATTTTCTTCGCACAGAGAAGAAAACTCACGGCAGTTTTTAAGAATTGCCATTGAGTAGTTTTCTGCTTAAAAAATGAGTATGACAGGAAGTCTGCGATGTCGTAAACCGAGTTGTGTGATTGCCGACTTACGCCGTCAAATTGTTTTCCGGTGTCATTCTAAAGATTCGCTACCAATTATAATTTGTACAAAAGGAGGTTTAGGCTACTTTTAAAGTGAGAGGAGTCTTATTCAGTCTTTATTCAGTCAAAATCAGCAAAGAATAGGTTTGAATCAGTAATTCGCTAACCACGTATCTCGGAATTCAGTGTTGGACCTTAGTTCCACAAACACATAACTCGGTTTTTCGGTCATTTCTCCTGACAGACGAGAATATTATTCAAAATGATGACAGGGTCTTACAAAGCATCTTATCCTTGCTGTCTCTAAGAATTATTTCCCCTCTACCTTCAAAGATGAGGAATGTAGAGTTTTTTCCCTCTCCTGAAAAGTCGCGTTTTCCGAGTTATGTGATTGCCGACTTTCACCGTCGATTCACTTTGAAACAAGTTTTATTCAAAGTAACCGATGCCTTCATTTACGTCATTTCCCAATAATCTCCTTCATCCACTTATGGAGGTTTCAAGTTATTTTCCAATTTGACCTCTGTATGCCTGATTAGCCCTTTGTGATTTTGTAGTTCAGTTGCTTAGTAGGACCTCCATAACTTTACTGTGCTAAGGAAAAACGCTGTATGAGCCTTCTGACATTGTCAAATTTTCTCTAATAAAATTTGAATTTTCAGGGAAATCTGAGAATATTTTCTTTTGAATTTTCCAGCGAATTTTGTTTGCGGTCATATCTAAATTGAGGACACCGCACCAAGAACAGTCTATAGCCGTATAGGTCGTTATTACGCCCATCTGCTTTTCGGATTCTACGTACGCTGGATTATGCTGTGGTAGCGGTAGTAATAGGTAACGGCTCGGGGTGGAAAAACCTTTTTTTCCGAGTTAATTCAGGCCTCTGGATCGATGGGTGCAAGAACGACTTATATGCGCGGCCTTATCATTCTCGGTTCGCGGGCATCAGCGCGGCGCGGCGATAGTGATGGCTCGATTTTTTGATCTCATTTTATAAAGATTTGTTTTTATTTCAGAAAAACGAGCTATTGAAATAATTTATTCTCCTCTCAAACTATCCATTTCTCCAAAAATATATACTTCGCATATTGCCACCAAAATGACTGTTGGGCGTAATACGGACCCATAAACTTAAGGGCCTATAAGGTGCTAGTTACCCCTTTCTTTACTCACTATCGATATTCTTTCATTTTGCGTTAATCATGCGTGATTAAAATGATTTATACTTCATATTGGCACCAAAATGACTGTTGGACGTAACAATGACCTATAAACCGCTTTTTTAAATTAAATATATTAGAGTGTAAACCCAAAATGTATTGCAAAATCTACCTGGCATCCTTCAAAAGAAGGGTTAGGTCACCCATAAACACCAAAACAGGGTACCCGCATAGAAAAGTCTGCGCAGTACATCAAAAACAAAACTTTAAATGCGTTTTTCTCAAAACGCGGTTTCCAGTTATAGGCTGTTCTTGGTGCGGTGTCCTTAATTATCCTAAAATTTCAAGAGAAAATATTCAGAACCCTCCTCAAAAATGAACGTTTTATCAGAGGAAATTCGACAACTTTTGAATGTTCATAAGGTGTTCCTCCTCAGCATGGCAGAATTTCAGCTTTTGACCTTTTGTAAAAATGTCTATTGCATTAATTTGTTCTTTCTTTGGTATACTTAATTAATGCCTCTAAATCAATGCTAAATCATCATTCATCACCTCGATACTCTTTTGATTGAGCCACATATTTTTCTTTGCAGGTTGGACTATGCAAATGGCTGGATATCTTTTCATCCATAGGGACTGGGCAAAGGATCAAAAAGTGTTGGCAGAACACTTAGATTATTACAGAAGCATCGGGAATACTTTTCAAGTAAGTTAATTGCATTGAGGTAATTACTGAGTGTTTCCAAATTAAATCTGACATAATGCTGCTCCTGGCAGAAACGTATTTATAGCAAAATATTTAACAGAAATGTGTCTGCTTTCTAATATTTGTAGCATCCTTTACGCATTTTCATACAAGACTACTAGACAACATCTGAAAAAAAAAAGTCACATGTTTTCTCTTCAAGATCTTGCGTAGGGATTGATTCCTACAACGAGCACTTGGGAAATCAACTCCTAAACGATTTACTGACAAGTATTTCTAACACAGATCAAATAAAATTTTGATTATACAAGTTTTGGTCTTTTGTATTTTTGCCTCTCAGCCAATTTTAATCGTAGGTAAACAATTAAGTATATTTTGTTGAGGAGTTGATTCTCAGAACCTCGCGTCATGTGATGTGTTATTCTTGTCAAAATTTGAAGAGAAAACAATTCATACCTCATCGTGGTACCATTTTAATTCTTTTATCCAAGCACTTCAAGAATTATCTGTATTAGTCTGTTAAACAAATTTTTTCCTGAACAGATCCTCTGCATTTTCTCCTCCTCTCCTCCTTAATGACCTAGTCGCTCCAATGAGCATGAAAGAAAAGCAACACTCTTTTATTGTTTGACAAACAGGTATTGCACCCTCAATTATTACGTTTTGTTTTGCAATGCCGCACCATCCATAAAAATTTTCAGGCTGAGCATTTTTGAGAAAATGAATACCCTCTCTCTTTCACAGCATTCTCCTTTTTTCAGCTGCTTCTTTTCCCGGAAGGAACTGATCTTACTCCAAAGACCATTGAAAGGAGCAACAAGTTTGCTGATGACCATAATTTGCCACATCTGACTAAAGTACTCCATCCAAAAACAACAGGATTCACATTTTTGGTGAACAAAATGAGACAAAGTAAGTAGCCGTTTAGTTAACTTTTCAAGAGCGTACCCATGTATCTACTCCTTTATTTGCAACTCTTGAAAGGAGGAAGGTTTTTTTTTTTGTTTATTTTCCATCCAATGAATTTCTACAAGTCATTTATTTACAAGTTACTAAGAAATGAGACAAATGCAGGACAAAGACTTTAAAAAAGGGGGATTTTAAAAAAAAGCAGGAAGGTTGCACTCTTGATTGACAAACACATCACATTTTGTGATGAAATCATCTCCAGCTGCTTGCTCACTTACATTTCGAGCCGACATTCTGACAGTGTGTGCAAGCGCACGGACTGTACAGTTGACAATAGGCCACTTGCAGTGTCCATTTTGCAGGTGTACGTCAATGAATGTACCGTCAGACAGTTAGTGTGACAATGGCTTTTAGCAAATTAACGTGCATCAGTGAATGATTGAAATCACATCATTCATGAAAGATAGTATGACTGTAGTTTCTTAAAAACAAAATGTGAAAGTGATGTATAAGGGCATGTTTACACCGACATCTAAACATGGAAATTAACCCTTTCAGTACAACAAACGCATCATCTGCTTTCAGCCAAAGCTCGCTTCTTGCTGCATCTCAGCTATTACTCCTTACTCAAAAACCTTCATTCAGAAGTATTCATATTTGTATCATAGGTAGGGTGTATTTGTATCATTTGTATTTGTATTCACATTTGTATCTGTTGAGGAAGATCTGAATCACAACTTTAGACACTTTCACATGGAATGTGCTTCGATTTATTTGCATGACAAACCAATTTGAATCACCATTCGAAACATTACTAAACTTTGTTTATTCTCTAGGAAAATGATCATTTAGTGTGTGATCCTGCCCTTTCGTAAGTGGCTGTTTATCCGCAAGGCGGAATTAGGCCAATCAACCTAAACAAACAAACAACAACAACACCACATGTTGAACCTAACCCAGCAATAAAAGGGTTAAGCAAGTTTATGTTGTAACCCTATGGCTTTTTGAAGTCCCAACTTTGTTGATAAGCTATAAGTGAAATGAGAAAAATTAATGAACGAACTAATGAAGTTTTCTTCTTCAGTTTCTCTTTTCTAAAACTTGACTTTTGTTCTACAGACAAACAGCTACATGCTCTTTACGATATTACAGTGGCATACCCGCATACCTATCCTCAAAATGAACTTGATCTCTTCCGTGGAAAATTTCCTGAAGAAGTACATTTCCACATACAAAGGTAACACATTAAGTTCATGATTGTCTTTATCAAGTCCAACTCAACTCGAAGTTTATTCACTTGAAGCCATGAAAAACTTCCAATGAAATTAATTCCTATCTTAAAGAAACAGGGATGTCTAAATCTTATGTAGAATTTCATGTTGTTAATTGTAGCTAGCCACAAAATAATAAAAAAAGAAAGAAAATTGAAAAAAAACCTTGGAACAAAACAGAAATATAATGTGTATGTTTGCCTGGTGCAAGGGTGGCTTGTCAGGAATACGCCTCCCTTGCTTTGCAAAGAGAAAAGAAGGAAGTATACAATAAATAAAATAAGCACTGGAACATCACAGTAATGATGAGAAATAAAATCCATTACAATCGCATCTCTTTATAACGTTTTTTAAAGGGAACTAAAAGTAGTATGTTGTTTCTGAAGGTACGTTATTTTGAGCAACTCTTAAACAAGAAATGTTCAGCAGGGATTTGAAAAAATGAACTCTGTGAAAATGTTATTTCGAGAAACGTTACAACAAGATTCAACTGTAATAATAATATTTCAGGAACACTTGCGAGAGCATGAGCAGATGAGGAGGGAAGAGGTGGAGGGGGTTGGGGATCCTAAATTTACCGTCAGTACTAACAGTCTTCTATCAATAAAGTAAGCAAGATAACAGATGGTTTTAACCCCTGTGTAATTTCAATTGTAGGTACTCAGAGCAAGATCTCCCTCAAGAAGAATCGCAGCAAGTTGAATGGCTTAAAAAAAGTTGGATGCAGAAAGAAGAAAGTCTAAATCAATTCTACTCAACCAAACAATTCAAGGACTGTGGTTCTGTCAGCAATAGAGTTCAAACCTTACATAATGCCCTGTACCTCGCATTTTATTTCTGGACCTCAATCCAAGTTGTTGTTCTGTACTTAACTATCTATAGTAGTTTTTTCAGGTGGTATACTGTGTTTTGCATTTTATCTTTTTCTGTGATCTCAGTCTATACAGAAGGCTTTCAGCAACTGCAGGTGAAGTATTTCAACTATCTCTCTCAAAAGATTGGTTGCCTCAAACCGAAAGATACGTAATGGTACTCTCTGTCAAGTGAAAAGATATCGACGGTGAAACTACCAAACCACGTATCTCGGTTTGCGACGTCGCAGACTATCGTCATACTTTATTTTTTAAATGAAAAACTACTTATCGTCCAGTCTCGAAAATTTCTGTGATTTTTCCTCTTCGTACGGAAAAAATTCTGTGAAAATTTCAAGGAATGATATTGATTTGGTCGACTTCAAAAAAATAAAATGCGAGCGTAGATTTTTAAACACCGCAAACGAGATACGTGGTTTGGTAGTTTCACCGTCGATATATATCTATCATGTCGATATTTGATGAAAATTACCAGGTCTGCAGAACTGCAAAAAACATTGCACAACATGGAAGCCCAACTCAAGATCCATGAGTAAAATTGATGGGTGGTCAAAATTAGGAAAAATCGGAGAAAAGAAAATTACTACGTCTCAAGTGTCAAGATAAAAACGAGATTTCTTCCGTTTTTTAATCTTGTTATATTTTTCGAGTTTTTACTGCTCCAAAAATAAAAATCTTAAAAACTTATATTATTCACCCACTACAATTATAACTTTGACGTATACTTTAAAATTAATTGTAGAAACCCCCTTTTTCAGTAGGTACATTGGTCCGTGGTGAATGAAAAAAGTTAGGAATTTTGGCATTTTGATCTGGGCAAAGCTCGAAGTTAGTTTTTTCTCTCAAGTCAGTCAAAAATGCAGGGTATCACTTCTATAGTGACATATTCATGGTTTGAGAGACAAACTCGAAAACCATGCATTTCAACCGCAATATTTCAAAATTTGTACTTAAACTTGATTTTATGGAATGAAGACGGGTCAATTTTGTTGCTTGCATTTGCTGAGTGTGCGGAGACACCTTCCAAAGTTGCATTGAGATCGGGTATTTTGGAATTTAGCCATTCACTTTGAGAGTTTCAACTACAATTTGCAGTAACTGTCGGATGTTTTCATAAGTCAACATTACATAAGTGTGGCGAGCCCAACCTTTCTGTAAGTGGCATTATTATTCGTGGACGAAATAAATGATCATCTTACAGTCCAATATTCATCCATCAGTGGCCTGATTCCATCTCAAAATTCAGAACACTGTCGAGCACTGGCTTCGGCAATTGGCAATGAGTTGAAAATATTTTTTCCAATTTTCAACTAAATTTGTTTGATGGCAAGCAAACTTTTGATTTTAAAATGACAAGAAATGCTATCAAGAATTAACATTCTTTAATGGTCAGTCTGGAGGCTGACATTTTGATCGTTGAAAAATCCACCTAATCATAAGTATAATCGCCAAAATTTGACTCATGCATTCAACATGATTTGTGCATTAAGAATGATTATGTTCAAGAACTTTGTGAAAATGTATTAATGGAGGATTGTGAGGAGCAATTTTGAATTTCCTCTTTTATATGTATACCTACTTACTTCGCACTCATTAGTGTAGAGAAAAGAATTTTGTAGTCGATGTTACAAAATTCTCTGATAATTCTCTGTCATCTATTTCAGTAGGACCCTATATGATATTGATAGTGAAACGATGACACTCCTTATCTCCATTCGAAATATTGTTAACTTTTCATCTTTTATCTAATCAGTGATATTCCGCGCAGTTTTTCTTTACTAAAATAAAAGCTAATATTCTCATAAAACTGAAGTTAGTTTTTTCTCAAAGAAATTTCTTAAAGCAAACATTTTGGATATCATATCTTAATAATCAAGATGTAGGGCTTAGTTTCAAGGTCGACTTATTATAGAGTGTTTGTTTTTTGTCCAACCTCACTATTATATCTTAGTAGTAGGTGTTCCGCATGATTCTTGATTTGGCTATCAGTTTTTTTAGTGTGATAATTGGTGTTTTTCATTCCTTCTTTTCAAGTGTTGAATCAGGAAATGTTTTTCTGTGTCGTAATTATTGATTGATTTTGTTTTGTTAAATTTTTGTTCTTATACTTTTGTTTTGTTTGGTCCTATGCCATGTTATTTGTCTTATTGTTTACAAAACTGTTACTTGGGATTCAATTCCATTAAAAATCAATGAATAAAAGAATGTTACAAAAGATCAACATCCGTTTTTTCTCCCAGGGAGATTTAAGGGTCTTCAGTTCTCCTTTCTATGCAGAACATAATTATTTATCTCTTTTCAAAGGTCTGGATTGAATTAGTGATTCTTAAAAAGACTTAAGCGCTAGAAATGTAAAAAAAAACATCGAGATTAGCCTTCAGTGAGAGCTACCGATGAGCTCTTCTAGTTCAAGGTGTAAAATCAATGGACCAGTTGCACTGGAAACAGAATCGTATTTTGATGCGTGATTCTTGTAGATTAGCTAAAAATAGGAAGATCCATCCAGACAGCAACTTTCTACCTAGAATATTAACTAAGCTATCATCCTTTGAAAACTCAGGTTTTTGTCGTCATCAACCGCAGTAGTGCATCTCATGATACGTATGCCTATGCACTACTGCGGAGGATGTCTTCAAAAATCGACTTTTTCAAGGCGCTATATCTCGGTAAATATTCTACACAAAAAGTTGCTGTTTTGACGGATTTTCTTATTTTTGGTTGATCTGCAAGAAAAAACCACGAAAACACGATTCTGTAACCACCGCAACTGACCCATTAACTGTTTCTGCTATGCGTTTTCCTCGGATAGCGGAAAGCGACGGACTCGCGGAGCTTTTCCGACCGGAAAATCGGACCCAGCGGATCATTTCCAAGCGAGCTTGCTTGGTTTCGGCCGGATCGGCGAACTTTCGATTTTGACCCTAAACATTTAGTCCATGTAAACATTGTAACCCCTGTCGATTTTCCTCGATTTTGGACCAAGGAAAAAATCTCGAGATTTCAGTCGCATCCTACGTAGTTGGAGGCGTAAAATCGATTCCACACGGTCCCGACTCTCGGCGAGGCTTCCTGAGCCGAGAAACAGTCATAAACTGGTAAGTCGAGCTTTTCTGACCACTTTATGACTCTTTCTCTAGAGCGTTTTCAACGGCTAGCTCGAAGCGAGGAACTCGCGGAGCTTTTCCGACTGAAAAATTCCACTCAGCGGGTCAATTTCAAGAGAGCTTACTTGTTGTCGGCCCGACCGGCGAACTTTCGATTTAGTCTAGCCGAGAGCCAGTCGAAAACGAGCTTTTCTGACCACTTTTTTACCCTTTCTCTGGAGCGTCTTAAGCGGATAGCTCGAAGCGAGGGACTCGCGGAGCTTTTCCGACTGGAAAATCGCACTCAGCGGGTCAATTCCAAGCGAGCTTACTTGGTCCCGAGGCTCGGCGAGGCTTCTTGAGCCGACCTTTTTCGACCGACTATGACCACTTGCGCGGTCCAGCGGACTCACAGAGCTGCTTAAACCGAAAATCTGACTCCTCCGGTCATATTATATAGGACTAACTTGGTTTAAGCTAGAGTACCTGTATAGCGAGAGTATGGACAGATGTGAAACTCCGAAAATCCATCAGGCCTTCACCGATGCTTCTGCGAATAAAGTTAGGGCCCAGAAATGCAGCCACCCTATGAATTTCAATTATCCAGAACGATTTACTAATACTATTGTTACGAACCGTCGTTTATTAAGCACGTGTTTGACTCAGTTTTTGCATAAATTTACTCAATTTCGCGGAAGAACGCTCATTTCTGTACATTCTTGGCCATCATGGTTAGAATTGGAATCTGCAGACTGGCAGTGAAATTTTGTGCGTTAGAAGTTGGTTAGAAGGGTGGCTGCACTTTTGGGCCCTAAGCCCTCCATGAAGGGATCTGTCCATACTCTCGCTATACAGGTACTCTAGTTTAAGCTAGATTGTAGATTTTCCCACCTTGACCCCAAATTTTCAGTCAATGTAGAGGTATACCTAAGCAGTATCAAACCACCAAAAACCAAATCTGCGATTTTTTGGTGCTTGAGTGTATTTAGTCCCTCTTGTATCATCTGAAGTTATAAAAATTTAGGAGAAACTTCTACTCTGATGGTAAGGAAAGGAAAGGAAAGAGAAGAGATCTGAACGATTTTTTTTTTTATTTACAGTCTTGTTTGGCGTCTACAGAGAACTAATTATCTCTTTCTCACTTATTGATAGATCCTATACTTACATATTTAATGAGCACATAAAAACAAAACAAAAAAATATAGAAAAAAAAAACACATTACAAAATGAAAGGTGTAACAAAACGACAGCACACACGATATAGTAGAATTGGTGCTGGTTAAGTTTCGTTATTTTTAGATATGTTGTTCCAGATCATCGGAACAAAATTAAAGTTGGAAATGACCTCTCCACACGCCATTTCTTTGCAAATTTGAACTGAAAAGTGAATTTTTGAGCTCTTTGACTCAGTGTACTGATATATCAACACCCCTCCGACATAAGGGCAAATCTTCGTTTTGGGATGAGCCATATATATGTCTGTACTCTCAAAGGCTCACGACAAAAAGAGTTCAGTTCTTGCATTAGAGGAACTACAATAGGTGGCAAAGATGATGGATCTATCATTTCACTGCCTGCCAATTGGACGTATTTCTGCCAAACGGAACTATGTGTATTAAGACATGAGCCCTGAGACCCACATAAATATATGCATGACAGGGCTCACGTCATAATGCACATAGTACCGTTTGACAGAAATACGTCCAATTGCTTAATAATGTCATAACAATATCGTCAAGAGTGAAATTCAAAGAATCTGACTGTGGAGTAACAAACACTTCTTCAAGAGCAAATAAAAGACTAATTCACTAACAAATTATTATTACAGCAGTTTCTTATAGAATTATGCTTTTTAAAAAGACAAATATATTGTCTAATTCATGGTTGGGAACACATTACAAATGCTACCTTATATTCGTCAAAAAATGTCTCTTTAGCAATTCGGCAACAATTAGGAAGAGTTCCTATTCTTCCTTTGACAGTTAACACAAACAAAGTCAACAGAAAAAACTTTCTTTTTCTATTTTTTCCTCAATATAATGAGATGTATTTGAAATTAATCAAATCATTTAATTTGAAATTAGACAGTTCTCATCTTCACGGTACCGTAATCTAAACTCAATACTTTTGGGACACAACACTTACATGTGATAGAAATGGAATTGCCTCGGTGCTTGATCTGTATTCATTTTGAAACTTGAAATTACACCTCCAGAGGAATTGGGAAGTAATTTTTTTACTTTTTAAAAACACTTCTTTGGTGATGAGTGTAGAGTTTCACAAAATATAAGTTTGCAGGACGGAACGACTACTTTTACATCCTGATTTCACTGGAAATGTAACTTCAAGTTATGAAATACTTAGGCATTAAAGAGAGCACTGATATGCACCTCTAAGCGAACTTAATTTCTAGCCTAATTCTAAGTGCAAAATGCAAATCCCATATCAACTCGAACATGTTGATACACTTCCTTATTTTGAATGATCAACTCAGTTGAAGTGTTAACACTTCAGGACCTAAATAGTATTGAAATTTTCAGAATGAAGCTATGAAGTTCGTCACACTTAAAATAAATGAAGTTTTTATCTTCGTAGTTTTCCCGAATGATTGAAATGGTGTTTTTTATAAATTTGTGATGTAACAACATTGGTAGATCAGATCATTGGTTTAATTTCATGAATTTTGCAGCATTGTAAAATTATCATACAAAAAATACCTGTTGATGTTGAAAAACTACTAATTGGGTTCAAAATGAATAAATTTTAAGCAAATTTTGTTGTGTGACAGAGAATTAACCAGTTCATAAAATAACGGGTAACAGAATCATGAGAAAAAAAGAGCTTATGGAGTACATGATGCAACCCAGTAACGCCCAGAAACTGGGTGAACTCATTACGACAGCAATGCGAGTATATTACAGTAAAGGGGTATCAAAATACACCTTTGCTGAAATATACTTCTTAAAGAGGGAAATTAAAAAACGCGTTTTTTTTTTGGCTTGTAGAATAAAGGGTGAATTTTAGACTTTACGATTGCGCTGATCATGATTTTGGAGCTAATATTTGTCAGAACAGACTCTTACTTATGCTCTAGCTGAAATTAGCAACAGATTCGTTGTGGCTATTAACTTGTATGTTGGAAGTAAATTTTTTCCACTGGTTGCAAATCAACGAAAAACCTTCACATGATGAACATAGATAGAAAAAAAAAACAAATAAATTTAAAGCTGAACCAATTTTTAAGTAGTATAACTATACATACTTGACATCAATAATATGACGGATCCCAGAATATGAGACGTTTCTTTGGGTATCTGTAAAATTAAATGATCACAGTCTTGCTATGGGTTTCTGCCCTTGGTACTTAAAAAAATTCACAGTGCTATTACAGTTCCTAAGGGGGAAAGATTTCATTTAATAAACTAATCTAGATTTCCGAATGGAGAAATCCTCATAAGAGGGTACGTGTCTTATGCTTAGATTTTCCAGTGACAAAATGAGACCAATTCTGGTAGTTCAATGTGTGATGGTACAGTTCAAAATTTAAATAAAGATATCATAAAACAAAATCAGTTCAAGTATATTAACTAATGGCAAATCAACAATTTCTATCTAGACAAAAAAGAAATAAATGAGCAAATACAGAACTTAAAAGGGAGAACAACAACCTAACAAACAAATTGAGCTGAGTCCGTGGCAGGGAAATGGAGAAAAAATTAATCTATGCATGCAGTCTTTCAATGTGCCTGATGGGGAGCAAAAAGGTCGACATAGTGGCCACCTTGGTTAATCAAAACTGAAAAACCATGATGAGTTGTGAAGAGATATTAAAAAGTTTTGGGGACAAATCCTCCAGCAACATGATAACTTTATAGGCTATTAAGATAAAGAGAGGAATCAGGAGACAGTTTCGGGTACAATTGGACCACATTTAGTAGAAAGGAACCAGACCACATCAGCTATTGCCAAATTTAATGGAGCGATTTAATTTTTTACTAGAGAACGTTTGTGCGGATTCCTATGAAAATTTTAAGGAATTTCCTTCGTACTATGCAAAAAATTCACAGAGATTTGCTCAAAAATCCACACAACCGTTTTCATGTAAAAAACTAAATTGCCCAATTTAATTTGGCAATAGGTGATGTGGCTCGGTTCTTTTCTGCTGAACACGGTCCAATTATCAAAGCTACTTCCCCGTGGTCAAAGCCTTGCCAAGAGCCAATGATTTATTACTGACTCAGTTTTTCAAAGGTAACTTCACCAAAATGATCCCAATTTTAAATATAATTATTCTTAATTCGTTAATTTCTCACTGCTGGAATAAAAGCTCAACATAACCTACGTTTTTGAGTTGTTGTCCCCTTTAGACCCAAGAGTTCAGTATAGACTAGCATACAGAATGAAACTGATAAGAAAAGCTCAATCAAGAAGTATGTATTACTTTTACAATGATTGAAAGTGACAATCACCCAAATGTTCTCACTGCAGCAATTTACGATTGATATTTTAAGCGCTTTGGTTCCGCATGGATCCATAGCATTTCTTGTGAGCAAGTATTAGCCTCTAAATGGATTCATCTCTCCTAATCGTCTCCAAGATTATTGGTAGAACACTGTTGGTTTGATTTTTTTTTTACCTACATATTTGTTTGTTAATTTGTTTTTTTTTGGGGGGGGNAGGTACATTTTTGGTAATTTTTACATAATGTTTTTCTCAAAGGGAACAAATCACGAAAATTTTCAAAATATGACATTTAGTAATTTTTGATGAAGAAACTGAAGTATGACAGGAGGTCTGCAATGCTACAAACTGAGACACGCACATCAGCAGTTTCACCATCAATGGAGCATTTGCAGGTGTCTAAAATTTTGTAAATTTCACGTTTAATATGAAACTGTTAAGAAAACTGAGCACAAGGATATCCTTGGTTTCTAAATTAGACAATTCTTGGAGAAAATATGGCAGAATAACCTGATTTGCCAAAATACATGTGTTTAAATGGAAAATGCTGCCAGATGACATTACAAGGCGGCACATTTTCTCACTTTTAAATCAATTTTTCTCCGAGTTCCCATTTCAGAAAAAAATTATGAAAAATACTGCAAACTTAGCCTGTTAAGCACTCTCAAATGAAGCAATAAAATTTTTGTGTGCAAATTCTCCATTTGTGTAGTTTCCTCAAATAAGTTCTTTTTTTATGTTTATGTTTTTTATATAAAAAAAAAAGAGGGGGAAAAATTAGATGACTGAAATACAACCGTAAATTGAATCAGTGACAAGATTTGGATCCGGGGGTCCTAAAATCGAGCTACATATTTAACCTATGGAAACAAAATGCAGTGCTATTTTTAATGTTACTCCCTTGATCCATACTTACACCTGCAGACCACTGACCTTGCTGCATGTGACTTCTAGAGAAGAGAGGATGGCCGAATGGAGAATTATGATGTGAAACTACGAATTCCTTAACATCCATGACCTCCAGATCAACTTCCAATGGGTTTGTTACTTTCAAGATTTAGCTTCCACAATTGCAAATATGATCCGAGATATCACGGCTATCATCAAAAATCTCACTGAGCTAGTCCAGAGACCCTGTTGGAAAATACAAATTTTAGTGTGAGTGCTTCATTTTTAGAATAGATAGGCAATTAGAATACCAAAGGAGAGGTGATCTTATGTTTTCTCATTTTTTTTTAACAGCTTTCGAATTTTTTGTTCGCCAGAGACACATTTGTGCTTCATGTCATTGTGTTTCTTTATCAGAATTAACATCAATTATTTGGCTTTCAAAGACTGATTGAAAGCTGGTAGGGATGATAAATACTCACGCAAAAAGGAATGTTTTTGTAAACCGCAGGAGGGTTTTAAACCCACACACCATGCGGGTTCTTACTCGTAGGGACAGCATTTTCAAGCTGACGCGGAGATCCAATCATTCTTCTAATGCTCCCCGGTTTGTGAGGACCTGAAAAATGATAACGAAGTTTCATTACGATTATTCGTTTTTTTTTTCTTGGGGGAAAAAAACAAGAATTTTTGAAAATTTTCGAAAAATATCAATCCCCAGCACAGACAAATTGATAATAATTGATTTACTATCACGCTTGCCAATGAGCATTAAAGAATTTTGAAAACTAGGTGAAACTGATTCATTTGCTGGTTTGAAGATAAAAGGTTAAAGATAGTCTTAAAATCTGGACCTTGCAAAGATTTTGAGACTGTCCGTGAATGAGGTGAGAATTAAAAGCTGCTACCCTTGAAATGACCAGGAAAATTTTTGCTGATCATAATAATGGAGGAAAAAATGTTTAAGCAAGCGTGGGGCCAAAGCATTTTATGATATGTTTGCGCCAATTCTGAATAAACATGGTGTATACTTGTTCTCAAAATAGACCAACTCAGTTGTTTTGGGGCAGCCTTTACAGTATACTTGTAACATGCTAAAAGCATCAAAAGCTTGCTATCAGGTGAGGGCTTCAAAATTTGAATGATGGTTACTATTTATAATCAGAACAACAAGAGTCAAGACAGGAATCTGGAGCTAATTTTAAATTAACTTGGAATAATTGCTAAGTAAAATCATGCTATCGGAGATAAAAAGATTTACCAAGACAAAAGGTAGATCCTTCACGAAATGCACAAAGCAAAAAAGAACAATATATATAGTGACATTTAGGGTAAGAAACACGTTAAATAAAATTAACTAACTAACTAAATCCGTGTATACTTATAGCTAGGTGTAAATTGTATATTACTAAAAGTACAACGCTAAAAAGAAGTATGTTCCATCGTTTGCTAGAAACAAGGTTCATTTGGTGGAGAAAAATTTCAGATGTGAATTCCAGATCACTACTTGAGTGACAAGCTTTTGCCCAGCTTTATCGATCATTTTTCTACTTTTATATTTTACAATATGAACTTTAGAAAATTAACAAGGATAATTCTTTAACAGCATCTGAATAGTTTTGACAACGGTGCAGACTGGATACAGACACTCTCAGTGTATGCCAACGGATCGAAACGAACACCGAAGTCTGTAGGGCTTTGAAAAACTGACCAAATGAGAAAATGAGGAGAGGACAGTCTGCATATTCGTTTTCAACAACTCTCGAGGGAAACTTACCTTCAAGGAGCAGCTTTAATTCCTCAGCTGGAGCTACTGCTAAACTTTGGAGATTTGCTTCTTTCATATCATTGACTAATTTTTCTACTTGTCTTTTTTTCTCAATCATAGCCGCTTCAAGCGAGGCAACCTGTGAGCAATGCACATAGAAATGTCAAACAGGCATCTTTATCCGGATGAAATTTTTAACAATAACACGACTCACTAAAATTATTTTGACCGATTTTTTGGCTGAAATAGAGCCAAACTTGGCCAAACTTTGGAATTTGGATGGCATACATGACACAAACTGTCATTTTCACTGTCAAAAGCTGACTTTAACTTGCGTATGGATGAAATGGTGTTAAGGAAATAGGAGGGGAGAAATGAGAGGAATCCCTGGAAAAAGAGTAAAACATTTTGGTTCGGGCAATTTCCAGTTCCTAAAACGGGAAGTGCAACGTTCATACTTTTTTTAGCGGGACAAATCGATGACAAGCTCAGAGGCAGATTGTTCCATGCATATAGAGTTCTGGTACAGCTGATAGTGGCAATGGCAATTGGTATCAAAATGTTATTTCTACAGGAAACCATCACAAGGAGGAAGTCATCTTCCTTAGGGAGATCATCTTCCATCAAGGAATTGAATTATTATATATTTAGGAATAAAATTGAGAAAAAAACAGTATTGGGTATGGTAATTCATGACAGCGTTTTCAGAGGGAGCATACACAATAATAAAACCTTTTGAGAATTCTCACATATAAAATAAACCTTTACAGTAAAAACTTTTAGCACTTTCATCGAAAGAGCTAGTTTTTGCCTCATAAACAGTAGCTAATATTTGGCCAAAAGAGGCGGGACTTGCCCGAGTAGTACTCTTTCCTTTACAAGAATTTATAACATGGTACCTACACTGCCGTGCTAAGGGAGAACGCCGTATGAGCCATCAGACGTTGCCAAATTTCCTTCGATGGATACCGAATTTGCAGGAAAAATTGTGAATATTTTTTCCAAAATTTTCAGACAATTTCGTACGCAATTTAAACTAAAATATCTGAAAATTTCAAAGAAAAATGTGCATGAATGTCGTCAATAATACATGTTTCATGAAGGGAAATTTGGCAACTCTCGAATGTTCATACGGCGTTCTTCCTTAGCACGGCTGTACAGTAGGGCTGTGAGAATAATTTAATTTCCGACCGAAGCGAATAGCGAATAGCGAATAATTTAAGTCAATTATTCAGAGCTACGAATGGTAGAACAAATCATTTGAAATGACTTGTAAAAATCATGTAAAAATTCGCAAATATTACAAAAGTCGACAAAAAAAGTGTGATTAATTTTTTTAAGAATTTTCCATTTGCTCATACACCTGCACAGAAAACAATGAAATGCTAGATAATTAATTGAGTAATTGACTATCAATAATTAATTTCACATAGATATTATCTCACACCCTCTTTCCGTCTTGAATACTTACTTAACTTTCAATGTGTGGTACTCTTGGAGCAACCAAGATACGCGGGCCAATCGCAATCGCGCATACTGTTCATAAACTCGGAAAACTCGGTAAAGATCAAAGGAGACCTGCCGTTCGCGATGTCTCAGATGGAAGAGGAAGCCTTGCACAGGTCCTCGCAACGTTTTACAGTTGCCACTCGGAAATTCGTTAATTTTGATGGTGCGAATATTTGAAAATGTCAGTTCAAAAATTCACTATTTACAACGGCACGATTATTCGCAATTTGTGAATAGTGCGCGAGGCAGACGAAGCGAATATTCGTCGAATATTCGCGGCGCAAACAGTCGGAATTGCGAATATTCGCACAGCCCTACCGTACAGCCAAGATGAAAGAACATGAAAAAACTGAATTTAAGAAGCATTACCTCTCGATGAAGGCTATCTCCACATTGAGCAGCCATTTCAGTATCTTGCTTAACTTGTTCAACTTCTTGTTGAAGTCGTTCAACTTCCGCTAATATAGAGCGCTCTAAGTGCTGTTTCTCTTCTGTTTCACGCGCCAACAGCCTTTGCTCCATCTGAACTTCTTCCATCAACAGTCTGTAAAGTAAATTTCATGAATGAATGGAATGATGCAGAATCCCTAGCCAGACTAGGTCGGTAGATTATTAAAATTTAATACTTGCCAGGGATCACAATAACGCTGAAGTGCAGTAGAACAGTATTATCGATCAGTTTATTTACATCATTCCCTGAGAGTTTTTCAACTTTTCTTCATTCATCCCATTTCCAGTATAGCTGCTGAACAAACTGCCCAACCTACTCCAATTTTAAAATGGACCTCAAAATTTTCAGTTGCCTTTTCGAAAGTGATAATTGTTTGAAAACTTTATTCCAACAATTGTAAAAACTTGTAAAATACAGGATAATTTCTCATCTCCTGCACGAAGGAACACATCTCGATAGCACTGTTTCAGTATGTACAACTTACATTTTATTTGCTTTAGGAAAAACGTCACAAATCTGCCATTCCATTAATTTTTCTCAACGATATAAAACTGTAGGTTGGTGGTGGCCTACAAAAAACGTAGCACACATGGAGCGGTCGTTCAATAGGCGGATGGGGAGTGGAACTGTCCAATTGCTATTCTCGTCATAACCCCAATTATATGGGAACTTACGAGAGTTTTTACAAAAAATGATTTAGCATTGAAATTTTTATCGTAAACTCACTTGAAGAATGGCTAAGTTTCATATCTGGACACAGATTTTCAGACATTTGGTTCTGAATTTCATGTAAGTCCTCATTCAGCAACAGTCCCATAAGGAACCATGGAAACTGGTGGAAACCGACTATTCACGTCCTGATTGTGGCTCCTCGTGTATTACGAATTTCACTGTTGGCATAGCATGGGATGACCCTATCTATAGTTTCTTGATCCTCGTAGGAAAAAACACTAAAATTTTCAGACAAATTTGTGCAACAGTTTTCCCATCAAGGAAAAATAGTTGGTAAGAATACTGAAACGGTCCAGAAAAGATACGTTCCTTATGCAGCGGATGAGGAGAAAATATCCTGCTCGTTTTATTCCAACGGATTTAAAGACATTTTCAGGCAAAACTTTGGACGATTTTTTCTGATTCGTTCCGTTTCCCACACTTGAATATGTAGATGAAACATGAAATAGGAGTAATATAACTGTCTTACCTGATCTTATTTTTACATTGTAGAAGCTCAGTTTCACAATTAGCTAGTTTTGATCGCAGCAGAGTCATTTCAGACTTCAGAGTTTTTTCCTGTTGGTGAACAATTTCATTTTCCTCCTCTATTTGACCCAGTGCTTGGAGCTGTTATTAGAGAAAAAATTGATCAAGATTCAAAAAAGATTTGCTTTGCAAGAGATAATACAATACGAAAAAAAAAATACACTTTAAGGCTTTTCTGATGTGACAACTGGCAAGGGCAGAGACAAAATGGTCCTTCCTAGATCACTATGGATCCTGTAATTCTTTCCTTTGTCCCTCATTTTCAAGAAATTCCAGTATGGCTTGACCTCTCAAAATGAGAAGAAATAACGCTACCTAAAAACTGACCAATTTCTTAGCGTGCTTGAACTTTGCAAATAATTGTACCTGGCCAGAGCCAATTCCAATAACAAAAATTTCGCATAATAGCTGGAAATCAGTCCCAACTGTACTGCAAAGTTGTAAAACCAAAGGGTTTTGAACAATTTTTACATAGATTTTTCGGAGTCTCATAAGTCTCAAAAACTTCTGAAAAATTCCTTTCGGTCCCTTTCTTCTATTTCAGATGGAATTAAAAAATGGGAGCAAGAGATCTAATAATACAAACTATAGGATGATTGATGATAAATCATTGATTTGACTGTGCTTGGATATCAATCATTTCTTCAGACTGAGAGCCTTCCTTCCATACTCAAAGTTAATGTAGAACTGCTCAAACCAATAAATGAGTAGGGAAACAGGAAACATACAAGAATGATATAATCATTACCTGGTCTTCTGTTTGTCGACCAATTGCTTCAACTCGTGCCACCTCTTGCGCAAGGTACTCCATTTGATGATGCTGCTCTCTCGTCTTTCCTTCCCAGTACAAGATTTCCGCATCATACTGGTGACAATATTTCAAAAGTCTTCATAATATTTTCCAAAAAAAAAATTATTACACAACATTTGACTGTATTGTTACAGAAATGGAAACAAAGTACTTCCAACTTAAAATTACAATGCTGCTTGAAAATGGGGAGGAATTGGTCCTGAAAATGGTATGATACTTTCACTGAAGAAATTTTTTCAAAAATTTTAGACAAGCTGCCATTAAAAGGGTAGAAAAAGTGACAAGCTTTAAACAATTAATTTTACCTTCTTCGTTCCACGCGGGGATGACTTAGTCTCACATTAGATGGAACGAATAAATCTCGTATGAAGGAGAATGATCTAAAAAATAAAGCCATGAGGGAAAAGAATATAAAAAGGTGAAGATATCTAACCTTTGAGAGTTCTGCCTGCTGAACAGATAACTTATCCCGTTGGCAATTGACTAACCTTACGAGGTCTCGATACTGAGAGTTCAGCAACAATGCTTCATTAGCACTTCCAGTCTGCTGCAGTTCCTGTAAGAAAAGTATGAAAAGTTAGATGCAACAAAAAAATAATTCAAATAATTTATTACAATACGCAGGTAACATTTAATAAATGACTGAACTAGGAGACAACATCTCTTAGTAGCACGGTTTCATAATATCTGCTACTTTTTATTAATAAAAAAAGAGTTAGAATCATTTTTTTAAATTTACACTGAACAAGCTGGGAGAAAAAAGGAAATTTCATCGAAATTTTTGAGGAATTATAAGAAGTAATTCTTCAATTGGAGAATTAAGTACGATCAGAAGCTCATAATTTTGCAAACCGAAGTACATGGTTTACAAGGATAGCCATTATTATACTATCCAAAGAGTGAGAAAACAGTGATCTGTGAGAGAATTTAATATTCTGAGACGGAGCTACAACTTTTCTTTCCAATTCGATAAATATGACTAAACTAAAAAGATTTCATCCTTGGACCAAAGTCCCTTGCCCAGAAGACAATCACTTACATACCGACGGTGTAAGTCGTCAATCATATAACTCGGTTTGCGACGTCGCAGACTTCCTGTCATACTTTATTTTTTTAATGGAAAACTACTCAACGGCATTTCTTTAGAACTGCTGTGATTTTTCTTCTCTGTGCGAAGAAAATTCTGCATAAACTTTAATGAATAATGTTCTCTTTTAAAAAAATAGCATAGAGGTGGAGATTTTTAGACACCGCAAACAAGTTCTGTGATTGCCGACTTACACCGTCAATATACATTTGATTAAAATTTGAAAAAAAAAAAAAAAAAAAAAAAATAGAGGGAAAAGAAAAAATAGACTAGGAAGAAGAAGAAAATACCTTTAGCAGACTTCTCTTTGGTTTTACTCTAATACTGGTGATAGAATTGGGAGGAGAAACTCTGGCAGGGTTGACTGAGGGAGGCGGCGGATCTCGATAAGGTGGGAGCACCCTCTGAGCTGGAGATCTACCATTGGACGGAGGAGTGCCACCCACTCCATTCACACTATTCAGTGCGACCTGAAAACAAGCATACGTAACAGATGATGAGCCTAATGACAAGATCCTGTCTCCTGGGTTACCTATTCACTTGAATGTAGCAAACATATTTGTGAGAGGAGCAGAGGCAGTGTTCGAAATTCACCTTGGAGTTTCAGGAGCCATGTGGCGCATCACGCTCGATTTTTAGGGGCCAAATTGACTTTTTGCCTATGTATCACGGCGCTTTTAGAGACAAGTTAGACGCAAGATGTTTTAGTTACAGGGCTAGTAGCTGTTTCTTGGGAGAAATTTCAAAAATCACCGAACAGAAAAACTATGATTTTGGAGGGGGGGGGGGCAATTTTTAGGAGCCACGATGGCACATAGCCTTCATTTTTTAGGCGCTGTGACCGATTTCTTAGGCGCATTTGGCGCGTTATCGCCTGTGAGTTTCGAACACTGAGCAGAGGCCAATTGGATATTAGGATAAAATGAAAATATGGGCTGAAAATGAAAAATATTTTGGAGAGTTAAAAAGTTAAAGAAAGTTGGAGAGTTATAGTTAGTCTTACCTGTCAATCACCTTGAAAGCAATGTTGTTTTCATTAATTAAAAGAAGTCTCAAAACAAGTTAAATGAGACAGACCACACCATAAACGGGCAAAAATTCAATCCAAACTTTCCTTGGTTTTAAGTACATAGATGATACATCATTCTCTTTCATTATCTTTTTTTTCTCATTGCCCTCACCAGTGTAATACTGAGCAATGCTGAAACTCTGAAGACATGGATCTCCAACGCGGTGTTGCAATTTCCTCTTTTTCTCTGTTTTTTTTTTTTTTTTTACGAGGGTGGTTTTTTAAAAGATATTTGTGTTCAAAATTTTCGGAGTGGATTCTTGATAGGAGGTAAAAAAAACGTACACATTGTGTCTGACAACAGCGATCAATCATTCATAAAGAGAAAAAAAAGACGGGGTATCAGCAAAACCGAAAATCAAGATGTACACTTATGAAGTTTCAAAATTCAAATGATATGCTGCATGTTCACTTCCTAAGATAAAAATGTAATCTCTGAAGAAAAAAAGGACCTTACGACAGGTGCAACATTTTCAGGGGAGTGATAATGGTGTAATCAAATTTACAGATTTCAACAGAAAACTTCGTATGGCGTCTACAAATATACATGTAGAGTGGTTTTAATAGTTTTTGTGCCAGTATGTAGAGAGGCATATTAACCCAGCAATTATGTACCCTGACCAATGACCACGTAGTCTTCGCTAAACTACATTATTGAACTTCAGCCACACCATATCTCAGGTTCCATTTTACAATTTTGGGAACTTCCTGTCTCAAAATAGCCATGGAAAACCAATCTATTCTCCGAAGTTAATAACTCGATTTGAGATTTCTCTGAACTAAGGTCCCTTTTCCCTTAGACAAGGCAGATGTTTTTTCTTAAATGCAGATCATTGCTTTGTTTGACTCTTACTAATTCTGAAGAAATTAGCATCTACTATCCACTGGTCACTTCTAAGGACCCTGGATGACATTACCTGTTGACTAGAAGAGAACGGCTCACATGAATTTGCTAGATTACAGTATGGACCAGTTTCTTTGTCTTTCACATGAAGACTATTGGACACAGTTGAGCCTGCTGTTGGTGATGACTGTGGTTGCTGAGATGCTGCGCGGGTCCCGTTGTCTCCTCGACGATGTTCGACGCGGTTACTGGCACCACTGAAGGTCAATGATTTGCGAATGTCTTTATTCCGCTCATGGAAACTTGATGCATCACCAAGACTGGCTGTGGGAGATATGGGACCTTGTGAATGAGAGCTGTTGTTGTTGGCATTTGGTGTTGAGCTTGCTGATCGCTGTAATATGAACTGGACATCGTTTGAGTATTCACCCCACTTCATCAGAACCTGAAACAATGTGGTAGAGTGATCAAGGATTAAAAATGTCAGTTTTAATGCAAGGGTTCAGATTTGCATTGCTAAAAAAAATGACAGGGTTAAGCTAGGTATGAAATGCAGACTCTAGTTTCCGATAGTGCACACTTCCTTAAAAATTTCGTTTTTTTGAGGGGTAACTAGTAGTTACTGCACATCATTGAGGGCAATTTTTTGTCGTCTTCTGGGCGAAGGAACGTAACTACATTTCAATGTTGCTAAATTTTTCCTTTGCATTTTTACCTGGAGAAACTGGGATATTCTTGACAGAAAAGTTCAACAATTTTTCACATGATCTCATGCAAAGAGCAGACAAATTTTGGACAAAAATTGCCAAGAAACATTCATGTAAAAAATTGAATTGTTTGAGTTAATTTTGCAACCTTGGAATAGAGTTTTGTTCCATTGTGCAGGCAACTACGTTTTTAGGAATATCTTAAACATTTTTGAGAGGGGTGGCCATTAATATCCGTTTACTAGCTGTTCAAGGTGCGATCTTACAACTAGCAACTAAAATTTAATATCTGCTGAATTCTTTTGAGGTAATTTGATTGATAATAGATGCCTCCACAAAGAATTCTATGATGTTAAAGGTTATAGATTGCAACTTTTCACAAATATTCGAAATCTTATTGTTCCAGAGCTGCTCCTGTGTTTTTCTTTCAGAAATTTTTAAATTGTAACTACTTATTGGTATTGGTGAAAGATTCAAAGGGCTGAATGGCACAGACACATGGTTGTCTTCTAAATCCCCTTATTTCAAAATTTTTGTGATCATTGATTTTCATGACTGATTAAATATTTGACATTCTTCTGCTTTCTAAGAGTAAAAATATGTAAAACAAACCTAAACTTTTTAACACTGCTTACTTGAAAAATTTTGTTCAAAGAGTGATTTTGGGGCCGAGTGCTTTCTTGAACCTACCACCTTCATCGGACAATTTTGGGACCGAATTGTCACGAAAAGAAGTTCCTCAAAATCATGTTCCTGAACAGCAGATTTCAAACTATCATAACTCCAGTTTGGCTTGACATCAATAGAAGTTACTCGTGAAAAAATGTTCCTAAAACACTAATCTGTACAGTGGCACAAACATTTTAATTTTGAGTTCTTTGTCTTCACAGGTCCATTTCTAATGGACGATCTCGTGTGCGCATAGATGAATATATACCTGTAAAGGTTGGTCTTGTGGTGAAAGTAACCGCTCGTTATTCCTCCAGCGTTCTGTCAAAGAGAATCTGCCAGTTTTCCCAGTTGCATGAGCCAATGCGTAAACCACATCCTGCAAATTCAAAAGGCAAATACTTACTGATAAATGTTGGAAGATACACAACCATGCAAGTTACATTACTCTGTGGAATCAAAATGGCATATAATACATGCGAAAGACAAAAAAAGGCAGCCGGATTATGTTCCTCGATATTTAATGTGTGTAACTGAATTTGCAGAATCTCCTTGATACTTCTTCTTCATGCAGAAATAGTTCCATCAAGATAATGAAAACGGAGCCCCAGATGGAAAAGTCGCACCAATTACCCTCCTGAGAATTGTAGGGTAAAGGGGCAAATTGTAGCATGAACAGAGACTCTGGTTCCATCTTGTCCAATTTTTAAGCGGGAGGGAGGAATTTTGGAAAATGTAATACCTTTTTTTGAAGCAGTTCGAAACTTCCAAGTGGTGACTTCCTTAAACTATCGCATTTTTGTTTCCATCGACGTAGGTAAGTTAGCTGATAAAATTGAGCTAAAATTTTGTGAATGGCCTATTCTAGTGTCTACAGTAAGTAAAACAAAGGTAGAATTCCTCTATTCGCTGCATAAAGAGCGAATGAAAACATAGTAGCCTCCCTGCAAAGACTCATGCACTGCTCTGAGACAGCTTGTTCTCTTTGTATAACTACGTAACTCTTAAAAACTAACCAGACTAACGTATTGATCACCCATTACAAGATAAACTGCATCTTGGTGACAAAATTAAATCAAAACTGATTCCTAGACCACCCTAAACCCTTCGGGCGGATACAAATCTACTGGATTGGATGGCAGGTTTATGGTTATTCCTATAAATTTGAGTTTGCAAGAACAAATTTCTTTAGTGGTTGAACTATTCATTCTTGGAACAAATTATGAGCTTTTCTCAGCACTGTACACCCTCACTGTACTCGAGTCCCGCCCGTCAGCCCTTGTCTTTGAATTTGTACTTAAAAGAAGATGAGGCAAGCAAGTAGCCGTTGAGGCAAGTGAAATAAGGATTCATTCATCCTTAATGTACACGGAATGACTGAAGTTTTGATACTTGCTGTTGCTGTGAGTAAAAAAAGTGCACAGAAAAAGATGCGGGTTCTCCTTTTCAGAGTTGGGGATCGCTGACAGAATGCAAGATTACCTGACAAGTTGTACTTTCTGTGACACCGCAAACAATCCTCTGTATACCCTCAACCCAAACTTTGAGTTCCATTGTAAAACACCTTGGGATGCAATCCCTGGGCTACTTTGAGGCAAACGCTGACATCATACTGCGGCATTCCATAAATGACAGTCACTTCATCAGTAGAAATTCATAAGCACACCTTGATAAACATGGCACGAAATTCACTGAAAGTTTTAGGGTCTGCTTTGACTGCCCTTAGGAAGTGGTGTTAGTTAGGAGCTTCACAAGTCAGATACACAAAAAAAGGTGTAAATAAGTCACTGTGATAACAAGATCAATATAAACTGATGAACTTCAAAGAACACTTTGGACAATTCATCTTGGAAACAAAAAAATTGGTGATAACAGATAAATTACTGATACATCTGTAGAGATAGTAAGTAAGATGATAACTCCAGCTTACTGTTCACATTAGAACTTTGAGGGAGAGAAAATGAAAGTTGACAAGAGAGCAGGGCTTCCGCGGGGGGTACCGTTTGGGTCTAAATAGTTAACGTCTAATCCATCGTTCACGTCTAAACTAATAGCGTCTAAAACTGTTTTCATCTAAATCGTTTTGATCTAACGCAGTAGCGTCTAAATATTTAACGTCTAATGTTTCTACTCTCAAGGAAACGAAATTTTTAGGTCTAAAAAAATATCAAGCAATTTATCCTGCCAATCTGATGGAATTTTTCCGTCTAATGTGTTTAGGTCTAAATGATTTACGTCTAAATATTTTACGTCTAATTAGTTTAGGTCTAAATAGTTAACGTCTAATTTGATTGGGTCTACATGTTTACGTGTAACAGAGGGCGGGTGGAGAGAGAGCGGCGGCCATTGTGATGACGAAGGAGAGTACCTCGTGTGGCGCGTTATTTGAATGGACAATATTTGATGGCAAGCCCTCCGCTGCTAGTTTCTGCTATAGTTTCCCGTCATCGGTATTCACATCTCTATTATTTGAATTTGACATCTCCAGATTCAGCCGCCTTTCGGTTGCGGTACTTCTAACGGCCCGTTGTACGAGCTGACCGGCCATGATGATGGCTCAATCTCACCTCTCATTTTCAATTAAATTTGAGAACTTTCAATGTTGCTTCCAGAATTCGTATCATAACATCTCTTGCTATCTGTTGCATATCTGTTGCTATCTAGCCGCGCTCCTGTTGTACTTTTTTCGGATAAGGCAACTCGAGGAACAAATAAATTTGGTAAATATTCTGGAGAGAAATATTACGGATTTACAACACTCATAGGTACCTCTCCTCTAATATAAAACTTCACTTCGCTCAGGGCACCTTTCATGTGCCATTGGGTTTAACTCTGTCAGTCATAGTTTATACTTCTTTCAGAAAGAGGAAATATGCGTTTCTTAAGTCACTGAAGAGACCATAGTGGGTTTTTTTAAGGCATTGTTATTATTTGACTAATCGACATAACCTGGCAGTCTCTTGGGTCCCATTTTCTTCTTATTGATATCACAGCCTCAGTGTAATTTTTTAAAGTCAATGATGCAAAAGCGATGGCCTTATTATATATCGGTGAAACTACCAGACCATGTAGGTACCTAGGTATCTCGTTTGCAGTGTTTAAAAATCTCCGCTTCCATTTTATTTTTTTCAAGGAGAACAAATCAGTACCTTCAATTTTTTCTTGAAATTTCCCTAGAGTTTACTTCGCAAAGAAAAGAAAAAAACATATGTTTCAAACGTTTTCAAGAATTGATGTTGAGTAGTTTTCCATTTGAAGATTAAAGTACGACAGGCGAAGTCTACAACATCGCAAACCAAGACGTGGTCTGGTAGTTTCACCGTCGATGTGCCACTTAAAACTTGATTCAAGACTGAAGACCATGATTTACCACAGGAGGGCTTTTTAAATCGTAATTATTTGCACTTGGATTTGTTTCGTTTTGAAATGAAGGTAAATATATTTTCGTTGAAAAGGAGCTTGCAGAGTTATCGTTAGGTAAGTATTAATAAAATTCCCAAATGGTTAGGTATTCCAATCGCTCTGTTTACTGGAGTGTAATAATGCACTGCAACAGAAATATAGCTCTTGTTGGAAGGTATCTTTCCTAATATCAGGGACTGTATAAATTTCTTTTAAAACACTTGTAAATTTCAATTAAAAAACTTAATAAAAACTGTTAAAATGTAGAATTTTTGAGATTTTTTTTCAAAATTTACAAGAGGTCAAATTTAAGTGCAAGAATCTTTTGTTTGAAGGTATCTCTTTCCTAGTAACAGGGACTGTATAAACTCTCTTAAATAACTTGTAAATTTCAATTAAAAATTTTAATAAAACTGTTAAAATGTACAATTTTTTAAATATTTTTTTTTTTGCAAAATTTACAAGAGGTCAAATTTAAGTGCAAGAATGGTGTGAAAAAACTCTGAAAAATAAACCACTGGTTTTCCACCACCTTTAGTGTCAAATCCTGACCGGACAAGGATGGGCCCGGCCCGGAGATGGAAAATGAAATTTCAGAAGGCTTGAATTAATTTCACGTGATTTAATATTTGTTATTATTTTTTGGAATCGTGAATTAGACTTTCGGAAGTCCGAAAAGCGTTTCAGATATCCTTCCTACTGACGCGGCAGTATACGGTACTCTAATGAGGTACTACGCACGAAGGGGGGGGGGCACTAGCTCCAACCCCCAAGTAACATTTTTCAACGGAAAAATCGCGATTTCTTGCGATTTTGTCGGCGATAAAATCGCGAAGATCATCAACATCTGAGCGATTATCCTCGATCTTGTTGCAATAAAATCGCGATTCTATCGCCCGGCAATTTATCGCGGTATTACCTATTGCAACAAAAATCGCGATACGTGGCGATTTAATCTCGATTTTATCGACGAAAATTGATCACGATTTTATTGAACAAAAAATTGCAATGTGTAGCGATTTAATCGCCATACCTATATCGCAATTTTTTCCTCTAGTCCAAACGAAAACATTTGCAACGCGTGTATTATTTCTTAGGCTTGGGGGGAAAAAAGTCAAAAATAGAGTCACTATTGCCAGGCGTTTCATGGCCTCCTGAAAGCATCCCCAAAAGCTTCAAAAAATTTTATGAAAATTCACGCGAATGACTTTCATGAAATTTTACGTAAAATAATTTCACGAGATTTTCCATCACTGGATGAGCCAGTTTTGGATTTCGTCGTGTTACTCTGGTCGAAATTTTCCGTACTTTCTGATTCAAATGGAATGATTACAAAAGTTTGGCGTTACCCCGGACTTTAGCGGTGAAGACTCCCCTCTACCTCATCAAGGGAGCCCGTGGTCAAGGCGTGGTGAAAAGCATCTTATCATTTCTAACTTCAAGAATTATTAGGTACCTTTCCCCCAATCATAAAAAATGAGGAACGGATGAGACAGTTTTTTGCAGCTCGCCTGAAAAATCGGTTTTTCTGAGGTACATGCTACGAGTTTCACCATCGATATACTTTTCGACGTTAAAACTCCCAAACCCACGTATCTCGTTCGCGAGGTATAGAAATCTCTGCTCTAATTTTATTTTTATGTAGGTGAACGAATCAACACCATTCATTGAAGTTTCCACAGAAGTTTCTTCGCGCAGAGAAGAAAAATCATGGCAGTTTTAAAAAATTAACCGTTAAATGGCTTTTCATTGAAAAAATAAAACACGACAAGAAGTCTGCAACGTCGCAAACCGAGACACGTGGTTTGGGAGTTTCACCGTCGTTTTACTTAGCGAGGGGGGGGGGTGGCAGAACCCCTAACACGGGGTTGGGGGGTTGGGAGTTTCCAGACTTGCTGGGATTCCAACACTGCACCCAGGCCCTGTGAGGGCTACCCTGAAGCTCGAAAGTTATTCGCATTGTATGATGAATTGTCAGAAAAAGTGGCATCGCTTTGCTGATTGAGATTATACTCAGGGCCTGCCCAGTCGTTCTGGGGAGCGGCCTCTGTGAAAGAGAAGTCCCCTTATCAATATTTGTGGCGCCAGCAGCTAGGTGCTGGACACCCGAAACCGCATTCTAAAACAGCTTGGTCGGAACTTGTGAGCTGCAAGCTTCACCTCATCAAATTAAGTCTTGTGATCATGTCCAGGGCGCAGAAATGTAACTCATAGGCTCGCAAAATTTTCAAGATAGCGATATATTTTACTCACCGTATCTCTCTCTCTTTCTCTTCCTATGTCCGCTCATCAGGATCGAACTAGCCAGGGGTTTCGGAATGCTGGCACCCCGGGCCATGGACCAAATGCCCGCGCGGGCCCTCGGCGTTGTATTTTCTGAAAATACACTATTGCATTCTATCATGATGTCGGACCTAGACCTGAGACCTTTTTAAGAGCACCGATCACGGGTCGTAGATCACGCAAATATATGCCATTCAAATCCGTGTGTATGTATTTATATTTTTTTTGCCAGATAACCTGCAACCAGGTGACTCAAGATCAAGGTTTTTCATGAGTACATCAACGATCACGGCAAAGGTTCATTCGAACTTGGGGGAGGGGGGGGGAGCTACTGAATAGGCGGTAAAAGTGGAACCTTCAAAGACTCCAAATTCAATCTTTTTTTGATCTTTAAATCTCTCAAATCTAATATGACGGGCCCTTGTGGAAATGTGGTTTCCACCCGGGAGGGCCCGGCATTGAAAGGGTGACCTTTTATCGCTGGAGGGACCTCTTGTGTGGGGTTTTGAACTGCTGGGTCCCGAAAATTTTACTTTTTACTCGACAGGCCTCCCCGCGAGAGCCCCGAGCTCCGTTAGAAGGCACATCACCCTGAAACTCCAGAGGCCAAAAATTGAATTTTGCAGAAAGACTGCAGAAAGACTGCTCGATAAAAGATCTGGTGGCCAAACGGGGCCCGTCAAGGCTCCCTCCCCCTCCCCCCCATCCCCGGTCCAGAATGTGGGGTCATCGTCTGTCTGGAGTTCCGGACCTGAACGGGGCCCGTCAATGAGACTGAGGGATCCAAGAAATAGGTGGCCTCCGTCATTCAGATTTTTTCTACGTTGAGTTAACTTTATAATTTTGCCCTTTATCAATTGGACTACATTTTGCAATTTGGAACTATAAATTCTAGCCCGGTTTAAAAACAACATGTGTCATTAGTTTCCCTATGCACATGAGTGTTTTTCCAGAAGAGCCAGAATTTATAGTTCCAAATTGCAAAATGCAGTCCAATTACATAGTGATGGAGTACATTATGTCGCTTCTTGCTATATAGTAAGAGGAGCAAATGCAACGGGAGGTGCAATTGAAAACTAAACCTGTAGACTTTTTTTCAGTTCAGACATCCGCGTTAACTAATTCACGTCAATGTACTAATTTCAACCCCCCCCCCTTCTGTCAAAAAATGTTTCAGAAACAGTGAAAAATAGCGTAAGTACCGAGAGGTTCAACTTTTCACAATTTACCGGGGGAGTACCCCGAGACCCCCTCTCCCCAGCCTCGGGGCGGCCCCTTAGACCCCCCTTGAGGGCTGTAGCGTAAAGCGGAC